GGGCATGCTGCAGGGAGCCTGTTGTCTTTTCTAAGACCTCTCTTTGTTTAATACACTACTGGTTGCTTATGTTAATCAGTTTGTTCCCATCGCTCTGATTGAAACAAGCAGCTGATCTTGTCATCCATATGACCCCCTAAGGGGCATCTCAAAGCATGAGACAGGGTTTATAACATCAACACAATGTGTGAACAACGGCATTTTTTGAGTACGTGTTTATGTCTGCTCCCAATCACTGGCTTGAGCTCTTTCATCTCACAAGCCATGGCTTGGGCTCCTCCCGTTTCTCCTTCCAACTGAATGTTGGTCCTCTGTCTATTAAGAGCCCAGTCCTATAGGGTGAGTCTTACTGTTCTGGCCAATGAGTTTTGAGAGCTTAAATCAATGCATTTGTTAGAAGATGCAAGAATACGGAAGGTGATTCAATGCAACTATTCCTGATACTGTATTAGCAACATGAAACACCCCAGATTCGTTATCCTGGGAGATGGCAATATGCATATCCACAAGCCTGCAGCTGCAGAAGTTTAAGACCTTCATGGGTATCCTCTGGTCCAACCATGCAGCTGGTAACATACTGAATTTCAGCAGAGATATTACAGATAAAGATGTTATAACCCAGCTGCTCTCTGAGATACAACATCAGCTAACAAAGGCAGTGGTCAGAGGCCATCCGGTGCCTGGGCAATGACAACACTAGTGACCCAAAGGCTCAAAGACTTCAACCAATTCCAAAGCCCACCAAAGACCAGCATCTCACCCAGAGGATGATGAGGGCAATGATTAAGATTTCAAGTACTGTACATGCACTGTTCTCCTAGTAACAAAGGGAGTCAATACATGGTAGATTACTAATACACTCTCTCTTTTTCCAAAGACATTTCAACAGGAAATAGCGGGTGCATCGCCCTGGTTCCTATTGTATCAAAAAATAAGAAAGTAAGGAACCTGAAGTAGAACAACTATGTCAATCATCTAACCAAGAAATAAATATTGTGTAGTGTTGCCAGCTCCCCCAACTGCATCATAATTCTCCAGATATTTGGCATTCGTCCCAAAGCTCCAGCTCCTGGAGTCATGGGATCACATTAAATTCTATCATAGAATCATGAGCAGGAGGATGGGAAGGGACCTACAAGATCATCAAGCCCAGTTCCCTGCCATGGGCAAAAGGTAATCCGGCTCAAACAAGCTCACCGAGGTATTTGCCCAGCCTCCTCTTAAAGACTGCCAGAGATGTTCCAGATTCTAGGTACCCGTACAGAAAAGAAGCTTTTTCTTGTGCCCAGCTGAAACTTTTCCTCCACTAACTTATGTTCATTGGTCTGCATCTTCCTGGGGGGAACTTTTTGGAAAAGTTGTTCACCTAGGTCCCTTGACATATTTGTAGGCAGCTATCAAATCACCTCTCAGCCTTCTTTTGCACAGGCTGAACAGTCCCAGATCCCTCATGAGCTGCAGGGAAAAAATTGAAAATGTGTCCCCCCACCCCCAAAGATTCAGTAACAAGAAGGCAAATAAAGAAAAAAAAAAAGGTACTGCATTTTTTTTTAAATCACAGTTTTTAAGCCAGTCTTATGATTTTGAGGGGTTGAAGAATGATTAATTTTTTTAACTCTGAATATTGACAATACTGCTTCCTACACATTTTTATACAGTAAATCAAAGGGTATAGAAAGAACTGACCAGTATTAGATCAGGTAATCTGAGAAACAGCATGGAAGCAGGGCATTCCTGTGCATATCAGTACCTCTCACTTGAATGCCACAAACGTGGATCGAAGGTTTTACTTTAAAAATGTGTTGTTATATTGCCTGAGGAATATGCGACTGTCTGCAGAACGCTCTCTCTCCGTCTATGGTGCTGGCATGACTAACATTACAGCAAGATCTGAGCAATGTTTAATACATTTATCCTTTCAACAGCCCTGTGCAGGACAGAAGAGCTTCATCCTTATTTATTTGTGGAACAGGTAATTTGCTCGCAACCTGGAACCATCTATCAAACTACAACACTATATATGACATACAACAGTGATATAATTAACATGTTTATATAATATATAGACATATGATTATATGCATATATAACTGATATAAGCAAGTACGCTTCTGATGAACCTGGAGCTATGGAAATATATGGAATTATAATTATAGCTATTCAAATTGCGTGTGTATGTATGTGTATGTGGAGTCATGTGTGTACATATACTGCATATACATATCCACATACTCATACATGTATAGATCGAAACCCAGACACATTACACTTTATAAGAACATGCTATCACACAATAAATTGCAAAGCTATGCAATGGATTGTATTTGTTATGCATCTCTTAACACATCATCTGCTCATTAAACATAATCTTCAAAGTTCATTATACATATATGTATAATAAGCTTTAGGGGTCATGTCTAATGAACAGATGATGCGTTAAGAGATACATATATATGTATATATGTCTCTCTCTCTCTCCCCCCCTATATATATATATAGAGAGAGAGAGACATATATACATATATATGTATCTCTTAACGCATCATCTGTTCATTAGACATGACCCCTAAAGCTTATTATACATATATGTATAATGAACTTTGAAGATTATGTCTAATGAGCAGATGATGTGTTAAGAGATGCATAACAAATACAATCCATTGCATAGCTTTGCAATTTATTGTGTGATAGCATGTTCTTATAAAGTGTAATGTGTCTGGGTTTCGATCTATACATGTATGAGTATGTGGATATGTATATGCAGTATATGTACACACACGACTCCACATACACATATGTCTCTCTTAACACATCATCTGCTCTCTCTCTCTCTCGCTCTCTCTCTCTCTCTCTATATATATATATATATATAAAAAAATAAAAAGAGAGAGAGAGACATTTATTGAATAAATGTGTTTGTGTGTGTGTATAACTAGCCAATCAGCCCCATGTAAACTAGGAAGCAAGTTCCATGTATGATAGAAAGAATGAATTATTTTTATAGCTGTTAGTTTTCAATAAATGTCAGAAGCTTGAAGATGCTGGTAGACTTGAAAATTAGGACCAAACCCTCAGGAAATATCAAGTGAGTACCGGATAGGGGAGGTGGGCAAAAGTGCAGAGTAAGTCCAATCTATCGTGCAGCTTTGCTGCTCAACATATGACCTCCGTTTCATGCTTACATATAGCGCATCCTTGTCTGCATTATGCATGTCCAGTTAACGGACAGAGCTAATACAGACATAGGTACAGACTTAATTGTAGCACAAAATCCTAATGCCTCAGGTCCACGCATGGGCACCTGGCAATGGGCTTCAGAGAGGTTTGAAATTTGGATCTGCACTACACATTTAGAGCCTATTTGTATGACAGAATAAGCCTGATCCTACACACCCCTCAATTTGGTGGGAAGTAAGTGGGTTGAGGATCACGTTCAATGCAGCATCTCTTTTTTTGGTTTGTAACTGGTTTATATGTCACAGTAAAGGATTATCTCCCTTCTCAACCCCGTGCTGAAGGATGCTGTCTCAATCATGGGTGCCTCAAGGGGGAAAGCTATATTTATTCAGTCTCTCATCTCAGCAGTAAGATTTCTTTCTTTGTGTCTCATTCAGTTTTCTCATATGCCAAGTGCCCAGGCGGAAGACTTTCAATACATCGCCTGTGAATGCATACACAAAGGAGGTCATTTAAGCTCAATAAAAAATGAAATATATATGTAAACCACCTATTTTTTTCCCATTGTTCCTGTGTTAAAAACATATCTGAGTTAGTTCTTCTTATAAAGCTCCCTTGTCTATTTAAACAGAATGACTGGCTGGTAGCACTGATATGGTATCACATTGCAGCTTAGGGAGCCATAACAGGAATTGCAGGGTTGCTCGAGTTGAGTGCAACTGCATGATTTTTGGCAAAGCAGCCTTCGTACTTCCGCTCGCCTTTGAAATACTATCAGTTCCCAGCTGGAGTGTGCTAGGGTTACCAAAATACTCTATGCTGGATACTTCTCACAAAGACCTTAATTTATCCAAGAAGACTACAGCTGCATTTATACCTGGGCAGTAAGTCCAGGCTCTTTTATTATTTTGATTACTACTGTGTTATTTTTTTCTTTCTGCGTTTCTAAGAGCATCCCTGCTACTGTACCTGGAGTTGTGAAATGCTCAGCGCACTTGCCTCCCCTTGAAGTCAGCAGGAGTTGAGGGCACTTGCAGTTTAAGTCCCCCTTTGATAAAACTCACCACTTCTGCTCAGACCCCCAGTAGGGTTTGAACCTGACAGCTTCTGCTCTAAACAAAGAAACCTCTGTAGCTTGAGTTAAGCAAATCAGTCCCTAGTTAGGTGCAGTAGCAGACTCATTAATCAGGTAGGCCAGCCCCCAGAAAGGAACAAAAACCCACGTCCTAAAAGTGAGACTTCCATTAAGAAAACTCAAGTATTGGCCTCAACCCACAACTGGACCTGTGTAGGTGGATCATGACACCTAAGGGACTCTATATGGACCTAAGTGTTGGCACCCCAAAAAGCTGACTGTATACTTCAGGCCCACATGATTTAAATTACCTTATTATACAACTGGTTTTCCACTGAATCCCTACTTGTGTTATGTAACATATAGACTAACAAACACTACAAATGGGGTAGGGCCTCAGTGTTGCTTATATAGAAGTTAACCTTTTTGTGATTTCAACTGGATAGTCCTTAAGAGATTTTCAAAGCAGTGGAAATAAAGGAAGTCATCTGGTGATGTCTTGCTATAATGATCAAGATATCACCCATTCTATCACAAAAGCATGCCTTTTCTGTATAGTCCTCTGTAAATATTTTGGGACAGATTGATCAGTCTGTTCTGGTTCCTCTGCATTAAGAGGAAAAGGGCAAAAACACCGGAGAGCACTGCTGAATCAGGCCTTTTACATACACAATACTCCCAGCTTGTGCAAAAAGAGACCTCCCTGGTCAGCCTTTTCCCCTCCAGAATCATTCTCTTGTGTTTGTACCTTGTACCTGTGTCACTGCCACTCTTCACTGCTCCGTCATCCGTGAAATTAAAGGTGCCGGTCCAATTTGCCAATTCCTCTCCATTCGCCCAGCTAAACTGCAGCCCTCTAATAAGAAAATGAGGCAGTTGATATTTCATGTCATTCATTTGGTTAACTCTTTCAAGTATGTGTTCTGTTGCCCCTTTCTTAACACCGTGAATACGATACCCATAGGGAAAAGAAACACTGAGAACCACAACTCACCGTCATCTAATTGCAGGTGGTTACAGCTTTAACTTTCACTTTGCTTAACACTTTTGTCTAATACCAACATATACATCCCCCCTCCGCCCCTTGAATTAAAAGAAATCTTTTCAAGATAAGCATCTCTCCTGCACATAAAGATATGGGTGCCTGAAACAAGTGGGTAAGTCACTTGCACAGATAGGAAGGTGCACGAGAAAACAAGTGATTGCATATGCAAACAGGTAGACACCAGGCACTGAAATCTGGCATGGTAGGGCATCTGTACACATATTAAAAACAGTGCAATTTTACTGCCAGAATCAATTGTTAAAAATGACAGAACCCAAGTACATTCGCTGGTTTGGGGGGCACACTAGGAAACAGTATGAGATCTACTTCCTGCCATTATTCATGATCTCCGATTGCTTGCCCAAATCATTTGATACTGGTTTTGCTCTCTGATTGGAGAACTGAAACATTTCAACAAATGCATCCACTTCTGTGATGACTTTTTTCCTTAGTGTTGCCCACTTTCAGAATCTTATTGCAAGTCTGGTGATCAAAGGTGGTTTCCTTGAAGCCCTAAATCTGGGATCTGGGACTTAGGTAATTTTGTGGAGGATCTCACCTTTCCTGGAGTTTTTTTTAGGTTTCTAGCTCTCACGGTTCTAAGGACATGTTTTTGAACATGATCCCCAAGCTCACGTAAGCACTGAAAAAACCAAAAGGCATAGAAAGAGAACTCCCACTGATGGCTTAAAAATATGGTTTTTTAAGCCCAGTGTGCGATTAGGGGAGGGGACAGGGAGAGGCTCCTAATGTTTAATACTTGACATTGGCAATGCTCAGTAAAAACCAGTTACTAGTTTGGGTTGGTTGGAAGGAGAAGGGTTTAGACTGTCTAGGGGTACACAACTGTCAGCTGATAAATCAAAAAATATAGGGAACCCGAAACAGTTGCATAGGGTTTTGTCTGGTTTACGGCAAGATTGGTTAAAGTTACCAGTTCATCTCCTTTCACTGGTCTGAGCGAGAACTATTATCTCAGTACGCAGTGAAGCAGAGAAGCCCATTAGGGCACGTTAAATTGAGGGCTTTCTTCTTCCCCAGAGCCGAGAAAGAGGACAACTTGACATGCTTCTCTGCCAGATGGTAGTCGTTTGCTTGTTCCAGACTGAAGAAATCGGCAGGCACATTCTTTGCTCCCTTGATTGTCATTGTTGTTTTAAAGTACTAATGAATCCCAGTTGGATAACTGACACCGATTTCTACTGAATTAACCTGGGTGCTGTGGTCGCAGTCATTCACGCGATGATGAACAGCACACGGTGAACAACCAGCCCTGTCGTCTAGCCAGAAACACCCTTGTGCACAACCTGATGCAGGCGTTGAGACAAACAGCCAGCCTCCAAACACGCGTGTGTGTAAAATCCCACTGGTGCAAACAGCGAGCAAGGAGATCAAACCAAACAGCCGGAGGGAAACGTTCACAGAGCTGGTCTTGCAGTACCTGGCTTGCTCTTACTGTTGACTCTCTTTATTTGCCTACTAGCAGGTGATTGCCAGCTGCTAGTACACGTGTAACTAGCATAGTATGTTAATACTTTACTAATGAGTCTCCTATAGAGTCCAATTGCATTGTCACTGCCAATCTATTTTCTATGAGCTCTAGGCTACTGGGAACCACGTGAATACAGCAGCATTCGCTCGATGGCAAATGGAGGCTCTCGCAGCTGAACAGGAGACATCAACTACTGACCCAACACCCTAGCGTTACAACCAAGGAGAAATTTTCAAAGGAAAAGATTTAACAAAATCTGATGTCTTCCCCCCTAAAACGTAATGTTTTGCAAACATTTGTCAACACTGTTCATCCACATGTTGTACCTTTTCAATGATCTAATTTTACTTATTGCTGCAGATGTTAGACATTTAGAAGATGTTAGAAGAACGTTTCTAACATTACTGGAGCTGTCCGAAGTTTCTGAAAGATGTAGAATAAAACAGGTCCATCTGGGACCCCTCTGAATTGAAAATGGGAGCAGATCTCTGAGAAAACGGTGAAAGTCTTTTTTCTCTGTCTTCCCCTGCAGTTTTGTGTTCAGGGAATTTTCCAATACTCAGATTTTGGGTTTGTTTGGGGGTTTTTATTACAAACGTTATCATCCAAAAATGTCAACATTTCATACCTAGAAGCCACGTCGTTGCTCAGAGTAGACCCACTTTGAGTTCTGAACAAGCCAATTTTCACTAAAAAGGGATCCATTATCAAGCGAAGAAATGAGTTAATACTTAGGGCCGGACCCAAAAAGAATTTAAGTGAAATTTAACCTCCTCAATCCAAGTTTGTGATCCTGAAAGCCTACATGCAGTTCTTTACCTTAAAATCCCCCAAGCACCTGAAGTTCAGTTTTTGAACATGGACAGAAGCATCTCAGCCTTGAATGGGCCAGGCGCAGCTCAGCACATACTCCCACTTAAGCCCAATCAGGAGCTATAAAGGAGGCATTGCTCCAACTAATCCTAAGGGACTCAATCCAGCAGAATCTCTTAGCATGTGCCTAGTCGGGCCAGTTGCACATGACTTGCAGTGGCACCTGCCATTTTCTTTTAAAACTGAGGTGGTGGTGCTCCCCGCTGGGATGTACTTTTATGCACTAGACCCATGGTACTGCATCTTTCCATTGCCAGATGAGTGAGGTACAGCCGGTCCATAAGCCAGATCCAGCACATGGACCGACCCCACACACTGGATCTGAAGCCACATGCCAGGTCTGGCCAGAGCCCGGCTTCACACATCAAGTCTGGGACATGTGCCAGGTCCAACCCCACGTACCAGTGCTGAGGCCGAATGCTAGGTCCAGGGCCACATGCCAGGGCCAGTCATGGATGAGCCCCACACACCAGTCCTCCGGCACATGGACCATGTCATCCTGTCCATGGGGGTCCCCACAGGTCCCAAAATTTAGCAGGGGAGGAGCAGTGGCAGTGCTAGCTGCCACGTGACTCCCAGAATTATGATAATTAAAGCTGCCACCACGCCCCCACCACCAAATTTCTAGACCTGTGGAGAGCCCCATGGCCCAAAAGACTTGGCTCCACGGGCTATACTTGTGAGCACCATTGCACTAGACTAGTGATTCGAGCACACACCAGGTCATGGGAATCCCAGGTTTGACTTCCACACTTGACTGAGGGGAGTCATATCCACATCACTTGGAGAGGGCTGTAACCACGAACTACAGGCCGTTCTTCAGCAAAGCGCTACCTAGCCTTTCGGCTGAACCCTTCACTGTTCATTGGATCAGCCAGAGAACAAGTCATGGATACTTATGCCTGCACCAAGAAAGGTTTATGCCTTTTAATAGGCAATTCATTACACCATGGATTGGAAAGAAAAACCAAAATATAAAAATCAGTCTATCTTGGCTGCTCTTCCCTCCACCACCAAAAAATCCTGGCACCAAAAGAGATCATTCTAATTTCTGCATGTATCACATTAAAATACAGCAGATCCAGTGGGGAAGGGGGGGAAGTGCTGCCTTAGGCTCTGGTCCTGCAACAACAGCCTACCCCTTTCTTCCGAGGTGAAGAATCACGCAAGTCCGTGGGAACTCTGCAGAAGTGTTAGAAATTACTAGTGGGTAGTCTGCCAACAGCTTTGACTATCCCCTGCGCCATGTCTTCTGCAAATGCACCTATCGGCCTATGGTCGATGGCAGCGAGTCATTATGGCACTTCATGACCAGTGGTGTCCCCCAAGGCTCTGTCCTTAGACCAGTTCTCTTCAACATCTTTATCAACAATGTGGACATTGGTGTCAGAAGCGCACTGGCTAAGTTCGCCGATGACACTAAACTTTGGGGCATAGCGTCCACACCTGAGGACAGCCTAGTGATCCAGATTGACTTGGATAAGCTTAGTAAGGGGGCGGACACAAACCTGATGACGTTCAATACCAATAAATGCAAGATACTCCACCTCGAGAACTAAAACCTGCATCATACTTATAGGCTTGGCAGTGCTATGCTCGCTAGCACCACGGTTGAAAGAGACTTGGGGGTCATGATTGACCACAAGATGAACATGAGCCACCAATGCTATGTCACAGCTGGTAAAGCAAACCAACTGGCTTGCATCCATAGATACTTCTCAAGTAAATCTCAGGATGTCATCGCCCTGCTGTACTCAGCCTTGGTGAGGCCGTAGCTGGAGTACTGCCTCCAATTCTGGGCTCCACAATTCAAGAAGGGTGTGGAGAAGCTTGAGAGCATGCAGAGGAGAGCCACGCACATGATCATGGGGCAGGAGAACAGGCCTTATGATGAGAGCCATGGGACTCTTCAGTCTGGAAAAGCATAGGCTCAGGGGGGACCTGGTGGCTGTCTGTAAGTACACAAGAGGTGTGCATCAGGATCTGGGGGAACGTCTGTTCAGCAGAGTGCCCTAAGGAAAATCAAGGACCAATGGTCATAAACTCCTACAAGACCATTTTAAGCTGGACATAAGAAAAAACTTCTTTGCTGTCTGAGCCCCCAAGGCCTGGAAAAGACTCCCTCCAGAAGTGGTGCAGGCACCTACTCTGGACTCATTCAAGAAATGTTTGGATGCTTATCTTGCTGGGATCCTTTGACCCTAGTTGACTTCCTGCCCCTGGGGCAGGGGGCTGGACTTGATGAACTTTGAGGTCCCTTCTAGCCCTGATGTCTATGAAATCTATGAAATCTCCAGAGAAAGGCAATGTTGCACAATATTTTCGTGTGCAGTCCTGTGAAAGCCTGGAGGGACCAAGGGCCAGGTGTTCAGCTGGTGCTAATCTGAGCAGCCCTTTCACCTTCAATGGAGCTATGTGTGGAAGCCACAGGCAGCTTCATTGATGATTTACCCCAAAGTGGCTCTTTCTGTGTGGTATATTAAGTGT